AGAACTTCGTTACGGCAATTATAATTGTCGTTTTCATGAAACGTCGCCTTTTTCCGTTCTGCGGCGTTCTTCCATATTGATCTCATGGGGACGGCGTTTCTTGATGAACTGTGGCAGTTTCGGTCAGTTGACGGCCAAAAGAGTCATTGCGTTTTGGCGCAGGCGAGTATGAAGACATTGTAGGGCTTCGCATGAAAGGCAACTGAACGTAAAAGGCGTCTATTTATATCAGCAAATTCGCATAGTCCTGTGAAGTGGAAAGGGCAGCTGATGGAAGTGTCACATTCTGGATTTGCGTTGGTTTTCGAGAGTACCTCGACCTTTTGCGCGGCATTGCGGAAGATTTAGCGTTTAAAGTTACGGCGTTCTTACCCGCACTTGCGGCGTTTTTCCCCGTACTTGCGGCGTTTTTCCCCGTACTTGCGGCGTTTTTGCCCCTTCTGAGATCAGACACCCATATCCTGTCAGGAATGGCTGCTGAGTCTTACGCGCAGCGAGAATTCTTGGTCAAGGCACACCCAAACATTTTGGAAGACATCGACGCTGGCCTTCTTTGTTTTCCACCAAGAGGATGCGGCTACCAGGCGCTTGATAGAGATTGTTGCCGAGTTTGGCTGGCATCTTGTGTGTCCAGTTTTTGACGCGGTGGTCGCCGCTCCCGGGCTGGAAAGTCTCCCAGGATCGGCGGCGGCTATACGAGACCAGTTTGAAGCAGACACTGGTCTCAGACTGCCGATGCTGCGGAGCCTAAAACGCGCCATGTTTTTTCGACGTGGAGTGGTTGGGGCATGTAAGGACTAGGCCCCAACGTTTCCCCTGTCAGCAACCCAGATGCAGTGGTCGCCTGCGACTGTGGGAAATATTGCGCTACTTGAGTGTGACAATGCGAAACCGTGTTTTTTGCTTGGCTCAGAAATTTTCATCAAGCATAGCAGACATTTCCCTTCCATTGAATACTGAATGGATGACGCCGGCACAGACGATGATGCCGACGTGGAAGAGGATGTCCTGTTGCGGGTTCTTGCTTCCCTGAGGGAAGAAGTGCAAGGCTTCCTCAATGCAGGCCATCCTGAGAGGCAAGGACGTTGGATACTCTGTCCCTTCTGTCCATTTCGGGGGTTCAAGCGCGCCCAGCGCTTGCAGACCCACGTGCGGAAGTACCACACGCAAGCTCGCTGCTTCACTGCTAATAGCCGCTCTCGCGCTCAATGGCATTTGGTTTTGGCCCTTTTTGAGCAGGACCAGGCTTGATTCCTTTAGTGCCTGTTCTCCCGTGTTTCTAATTTTTCCACCACAGCAAGGCTAGGGGTGTTCTGCCATAGTAAAGGCCTTGGAGCAGATTCGGAGCAGGCTCCGGAGAAGGTTGCGGAGCACGCAGGTTCCGGAGGAGGTTCCGGAGCAGGTCCCGGAGCAGCTTCCGGAGCAGGTTCCGGAGAAGGTTCTGGAGCAGGTTCCGGAGAGGTTCGGAAGGGGGTTCCGGAGAAGGTCTCGGAGGAGCCGAGGTGCCGGAGCACGTTCCGGAGCGAGGTTCCGGAGCAGGTTCCTGGTATCCCACTCGAACCATACCAGCGCTTGTGACGCATTTGTGTATTCTTTTTCGGCGACAAGACAGCGTTGCAGTAATGAGTGCAGTGAAGTTGGTGGGGTTCCTGGCTTGTTTTGGCCGCGGGCCCGGCAAGAAAAGGTAGGCTATAGCTTGATGGCTTGTGACATAGTTTTTCAGCACGCGCAACATGTTTCTAGCTGTTGGGGATGTTGCTTGGGCTTATGTGTTGATTTGGCGTGTTTTTTCATCAACCACAGGCTTGACTTCTGAGGGCCCCCTGTGTTACTGATGTCGCAAAGCGATGTAATATTGCACCTTTTTGAAATTGATTTGTCAGGTGCAGGCACCCTTTCGTGAACCGAAGCTAGCAGGCAGATTGCTTCAGGAATCTGCCTGCTTCATACGAGATTCCATCGCCCCAGGGATGCAAACCACCGATTTTCTACGCAAGTACAACGATTTTGATGTGGTGCTTGCGCTGACTGATGTGGGACCGAAGTACCTGCTCAAGGCGCAGACAGTGAGCTTCAGAAGACTCAAGAAGAATCTTTATTACAACAACAAATTTGTTAACGTGCTCATGGCCTGCATGCTGCAACACCGTGGGAAGTCTGAGCCAACTTTTTTGCATCTCACAGAGCATTTCCTGGCCCGTGGAAGTCCTTGCGCCTTGCTTGGCACCAGAAACAGACTGACAAGGCGAACGCTCATGGAAGAGGTTTGGTCTTTGCCTTCTATTCAACAATTCCATTCTGGTCTGATCGGCAAAAATACTGAGAAGGGCGAGTGGCAAATACTTTCACACGATGCTACATTCAAAGCACTCTTCTCTGTCATTGGTCAGCGGAAGATGGCGCTGGCACCTGGAGAAGGGCATGCGTTGCATTCGCTCTTGGGACTGAGCGGAGCCTTGGCAGGCTTGTCGCTTCAGCACGCAGAGGGGCCCAAATGTTTTGCTGACGCAGTCACATCTTTGCTTCCGGACGAAGCGCGTCGAACGACGCTCTGGGTCTTACTGATTCGCCAGACACAGTGCAAAAAGCAGATCACTGCTTTCCACAGTTGCAGGGTGTTGCTGAGGACCCTTTGCACTTTGCGCTGCGGGCTGAGGCTTGCTTTGGCGAAAAACGTACAGCCCTATCCCGGAACCTCCTCCATCTGCAGAAGAAATTTGCACACGCCCTGGACTGCGCCATCTTCAAAGGCGGCGCTGCTCCGAAGGCGCATGAAGGTGCGCGCTCGGTTGTTCGTCTTTACCAACACGAAACCATGCTTTTAAAGAAACGTGATTTTATAGCCTGGAAACAGGTAGCAACGAAACGTCTAACGTCGCATGCTATGAGACTAAATAACGGGTGTTTGTTTGTCTTGCTTCTGATAACTCGTTTTGTGGCCTTGGCCGCAATGCGTATTGGTTTTTTGTCCCCATGCGCAGACCAGGACAATGGCCTGCTCGACGAAGCAACCCGCTTCACCCAGACCGGAACTTTATAGACTACAGCCAAACTCCTTACTTGGATCACCAGTCTTACATCGATGACATCGTAGATTTGACGCTCCTCTACCCTGATGACATGGGGCGCAAGAATTCCAAGGGTCAGTCCGTCAAGCAGATCCTGATCACAGGAAGTGCTTACAGACACTTTGCCTACCTCCGCAATGGTTGCCGCGCTATCTCGGCCCTCTCGCGGGAGCGCAGACAATTGTTTTCCTTTGGTACTGCTGCTAATGAGGCCTTGCACGCGCAGTTCAACTCCTCACAGAGCACGGTAGTACAACAACATTTGGAAAGTGTGCAGGTGGTCTTGAAAAGTTTCTCCTGTGCCAAGTTGCTGGCGCATCACAGCGCAGCTTATGCGCCCACGGTTGCACAGAGATCCCAAAGTCAAATCTTGGCATTGTTGGAAGGCGCCCTTTTGCGACCGGACTCTGAATTTTGCAAGCCGTTTGACGAAACGCAGCCTGAAGCCGTCACTGACCGGAAACGGTTGCGGAGACCTGTGCACGCTCACGATGGGGGAGCTGCAGCTCACAGAGCCCAACTGGCAGCGCGGCAAAGAGAACAGTGGAGAAAGCACTTGCACAGTAAGAAGTGGATCGGTCGGAAGTGGACCTTGAAACGCACAGTTTTCACAAAGAAGAAACATCGTGCGCCACCTCATGAGAGGTAAGCTCCTTGTCACGGACATTGCCACCTGTGAAAAAAGAAGAGAGAGCTTTAGAGCCAGTTTGCTCCTGGGCCCCCGTGGAAATACAAATAATCAAAAAAATTGTTCTTCGAGGGTTGCCGTGCACACCCAAGTGCGCAAGGATTTTGTGTTCGCAGGTTTCCATTTGCTCTTGACACCTTTAAAGAACTGCGGCCTTGATTTCGCGTGCCAGCGGTGCCTGCAGCTGGATGCCAGGTCCAACTTGGGTGGTATAATGGCCTCATGGGTGGTTTCGCAGTCGGGCTCCAGTGTTGGACTGGTATATGGATTTGTATTTTTGGGGCGCGTGCTTCCTGATGCAGTCGTTGGAATTTCGACTTGAGCGATTCATAATATCCTCGAATCATACCCCCGAACAATGGTCTTTCTGCCTTGTTTGTAGATGTCCAAGAGCCACTGGTGCGTGGCGTTTCCAACTAGGCCAAAGTTGTTCGTCCTCTTGTGGGAACAGCAAAGGCTCACATCCCAACACAGAGCCCAACAATGAGCCTGGAGGAGCCCGCCAACTGCACGGACCACGGACCCCGCGAACCCCGCGAGCAAGGCTCTTACTTTTTCAACGACCTGCTACTCCTCTCAGGTTCTCGCCTTTCCAACACTTTGACATTCTGCCCCAGCACGACGGTGCGAAGGCACCGGGTGCATGGCATGAGCAAAGGCGGAAATCGCGCAAGTGATGTAAAAATTGTACCTGAGAACGAAGGGCGGCGCAAGCACCGGCCTGTTATTCCGAAATATCTTGTGCACAGGGGACTAGCGGAATTCTGATTCTGATGCAAGTCTGACCTGTGCTTGCAGCAAGGAAAGCACAGCAGCTACGTGGCTGCTCCGTCGCCTGCTCCTTGTGAGCTGCGACAACTCTGACACAAACTCTACCTTCACACAACAAAAGTGCAGGAAAAGCACGGCAGTGAACGCGCGCATGGCTCGCAGCGCTGATATGGCCGGCTTCCCTAGCGGCCCTAGCAGTAGTTTGTATTCATACCATGCGATGGTGTTCTCGTGTGTGATGATGTCGGCTTTGCAGTTGCATCATAAATTGCTATGTCAGCATGGTATGCCCCTGCCCTTGATTTCTTTACTTTCTATATTCGCCGAGAATTGTGTATATGTGTGTGTGATTGCGTTTAATGTGTACAGCTTTACAACCACCTAGTGCAAATAGGTTACGCGATTATTGGCTGTCTTCGCTCATGAGTCTCATGAGAGCTGCACTCCGCTCCTCACTTCATGCGTCCGCAGCTTCAGAAGGCCACCTCCCGCGGGCCCGACACCGTGGTTCCCTGTACCGTCCCCATCGGCAGCTCGGATCCGACCGCTCGGTCAGCCCAGTGGGGGCGGAGGTGAGCTGTCGGACCCGTGAAGGGCTTCTTGCCCCGCAAACCCAAGGCTTCAAACATGGCGGCGTCCTGACAGGGTGATGGAGTCCAGATGAGGGTGGGAAAACAACAGACCATCTCAAGTTACTCACGACACGCGGTTTCGGGAGAACTCCGAAACACACGCTGTGTCTGGCCCTTTTGTCCAGCCCACGCTACAAAACCCACCGCGCATCTCCGCTGCAGTTCTTCCGCCCACCCAGTCTCCTCGGAAAATTTGGGGTTGGCAGTGGTGAGGAGTTTGTCCCCCGTAAAGATCGAGTTCGCCCCTGCCATGAACATCATCGCTTGCGCCTGCGTCCAGCTGGACATGTTCGGTGCACCGAATGGTTCACACATTCAGCCCAAAGAAAGAAATATCATTTCTGAGCCTGCACATACGAGGTAGAAGTGACAAAAGGCAGCTTAAACGCTTGAGAATTGGACAGGAGACCCTGTTTTGGGGGGAGACTTAATTTTCTATATAGGCATGTGACACTTTCGCGCGCCTCCTGTGAGAACTCCATGCGTCCAGCAGAGAGTCGCACCATGGACTGGGGCATCACAATCCGCGCTGTGGCAATCGAGCGCACCATGTCCCGCCAGGTCACTGCCGTGCCCATCTTGATCTGTCGATCACCCAAAGGGGTGCCTCAAACAAGTCCGGTGCGTGAAGATGTGGCAAACAGTTGGAATCACAAGGTCATGTTCCAAATCAACACCTATTAGCAAAGATCAGATAGTCTGCCTTTTGAGAATGACACAGCGACGTCTCCACCTTCAATGGGCACCAAGGCGTTGATGGGCACTGACTCTGGATGCTCTGGGAGCGTAGCCAAGGTGTGAATCAAGCCAATTCGGTCCTTCGACAGTGAGAGACCAATACCATCCAATACCTGCATCTCCCCCTATACCTGTGGATCATGGTAGATCCTCGCTAAAGCTGTGAATGATGTCATGATGTATAATGATAACGGTGGTTCACAGGAATCTGTTGATCAGGCGCTACCAACGGTACAGTCAACCAAAGCACAAAGGACTTGGAGTTGGCAAGCCCGAGCAGCGAGGTCTCTCGAGGCCACCAAACGTTCGAGTCCAAGCACGGCGTCAAAGACTGCCCGAAGCATGTTCTCTCTGAAACTCGAAATCTCGACTGGAAAGGAGAAAAGCCTCTCTCGAAACGTCCAACCCTGTCCTCCTGGGTCTCGGCGATGCCCAAAATCCCCCCGCAGCAAACGCTGATACCTGCCTCGCGGACGTTGGCCAAGGTCTCCAAGCGATCCGCATAGGTACCTTGCGGTCCGTTCGGAAGTTTTCGCATGTCGGAGCCTAGGCGCGAGAAGAATGCTACGGGGAGCAAGGATGTGAAGCCAACTGAAGGAATCAAGGATAGCCATAGATGGCAGTAGCGGGATATCCATTGAGAGGCCGAAAACCTAGTGCCAGCATGTGCTACTGCAGAATTCAAGTCTACCACCAAGACACGGGTCGACACGATATTTGGGTAGTGCTCCGGGCTCGTGTCCAAGTTGTGGTTATAGGCTGTGAGGCCTGCGTCCTTCAACTGCTTGGCTTGCTCGGCATTTAGGAGGCCAAGGGTGCAGCAAGTTTCCATGCCCATGCCAGAGACTTCCTGTCCACAAAGGCACCAGAAAAGCCTACAGACATCCACCCTTGGCATGCCTCCGACCATTAATTGAAGTGGGAAGCCCCCTGCATGTAGATGACATCCACTTCCATATACGTCCATGACAATTGATGGATTTTCCTGCGATAGCATGTAGCATACACATCGATCGCCGGTCCTTCACCATGGTCAAGATATGCTGAAAGGAGTTCTTCTGACCAACGCCTCGCCAAGCAGTGCCCATACAGAACCGTGTGGACCCAGCATCCTTAGCCTTCCGCGCAGCTTCCAAGACCTCGGCCGCTGGTGCCCTCGACCAACCCTTCTGCACCGGGTGCTGGAGTGGGCGCGGAAAACGATGTTCCAGATGAGTGCTTGGGTTGGGCTCAGTCTTCACCTTCTTTTCACACTTACAACACCTGCCCCCACCTTCCCTGTATAGTTGATAGTCTGGCTGCTAGCTCTAGCCATCTGCTTCTCCAGTCTTTGCATTTTTTGAACTGAACATCCAAGCGGCTGATGGACACAATGTCTGAAAACCAAGATGAAGTGTGACGACATGCATCCATCAATCATCATTGGATACACAATAAGTATATATATATAACATTTAGAGAACGCTAGCATAAAATATTATATATAACAATACTGACAATACTATCATATAATGCAGTATTTTTTGTGTTTTTGTATGCATATCAACAAGTAACATAACGTAATGCAAAATAACATTGTGCCATATTATATGCTAATATTTGTGTAAATCGGTAAATCCCATTATCCATGCCAGTAACGGTGGATGATGATGGCTAGTAAAGGCCTTTGACTCTTACATGCTGGTAATTGTTTACTGACTGTTGCAGGTAATGGGACGGACACAATCTAATAATATACTTAGACAATGCAAGAATAAGTATTAAAACAGCATGCGCAAAAAACACTACAATAAATATATAGAGAGGGATCAACGCCAGTTAGTTAGCTGTCTGCTTCCGTTTCCCGACGGGCCGCGCTTTCCCCACTTCCAAGCACATTTCATCATGAGACTTGGTTTGGCCCCACACCCCCAGGCCCCCCCTACTTACAGTACTTCATCTTACTTCTCACTTCTGCCTACTGGCTGCTGCGTTTCGATGCTGGGGGTTGACATTCATAGAAGAATGAAAAATAGAACGCATTGCTTTCTCCTTTCAGCTCTGGAGCCTCATCCACTTTCATCATATGCGTGGGCTTCACTGAGGTCTTGAAGCTTTGGCTTTGGGAACAGTAGCCACCTGGAGCGGAGGACCCTTCGCATGTTGAAACCAGGAGAAACTGAGTCACTGGCAGTAAGTGTTCACCATAGCCACATAAAACATACAGTAATCCAATGGAAGTCTGGCATAATCTGATGGAAGTCTGGTCCGTATTGGTTTCCGGCCCAGTACATTCATGGCACGGGGAGAGTAGTTGTCTTGAACGACAAGAAGACTGTCCAGCATCCTCTCGAAGCAATCAGGTGATGAAAGTACAAAACCCACTTACTGAGATGCAAGAAAGAAACGCAAGAACTTAACACATCATGGCAGAATAGGCTTTGACTGTGTCTACTAGTGTCTACACGCTATTGACCGGCCTTATCCTCCCTGCCCCGTTCCACCATCCAAGGCACAGTTCTCACCACAGCCACCTGCACCAAGCCAACTGTTGAAGCGACTGCCATGAAGTCTCCGACTCACCAACATGGAAGAGGAAATCAGGTTTGGGGGGAAGACGGAAGACGATGTTCCTCTACAAACGGGGTGGTGTCCACTTCCATGTTAGTGGGTCGGAGTGTATCTAACTTTATATTCTACGTTGAGTCTAGCAGGACCCTGCCTGTCTTGATGGACAGCAAGGTGCTTTGCTGAACCTCCTTGGGGTCAAAGAATTGCCGATGGACCGAAGCCGCTTGGAAGACCAACTCCAGCAAGGGCTGGTGGTAGATGTCGCCGATCTGTGGCAAATGGCGAAAGATTGGCTGGAATGCCTTTTGTCTGATTGCGAATTCAGTCGTAATTGCGAATTTTGTACGATCTTTCAGCACCATAATTTGATGGCACAAACTTGCTCTCATGTTACTCTCCTCAGAACATCCGATAAAATCTGTAAATTCCGCACCTCGTATCATAGCTGAGTCTACTATAGTCTTGGGGTTCCGCCTCTTCTCGCTTCCAGTCGTGCCGCACCACCGCGAAGTGGCGGCTCTGGGCCCATGGGGCAGGCGGCGCCCGTGGCGCGACACGAAGGCAGCGAGGCAGGCGAAGCATGACGCGTCGGAGCGAGGGCCGTGAAGCCTTTGGGCCGATGCTCTGCCGAAGCCCTCTGCGCCGATGCTCGGCGCGCCCCAAACATCTGAAAGCAAAGCAAAATCGAACTAGGAACAAGAACGCTACGAACGGGGCTCCTGGCCTTACTACTAGGAGCAAAGGACGCTACTAGGAGCAAAGGGCATCGCTACTAGGAACAAGAAGCTACTATTACTATATAGATGGACTCTTTTTTGGGGGAGTTTCACTGCCACCTTGGCCCGCCACGAGCGCAAGATTGTAGTCAGCAATGGCATCCTGGTACTGTTTCAAAGCTCGCCTCATGCAGATGTTGTTCCATCAAGTCTTCGGTCGTGCGGCCGTACAGCTAGAGTCTATCGTTGAAAAATAAAGATGAACAAGAGTCCACCATCGGAGGTTCCTGCATCAACTCTCTCTCTCTCTGCTATGTTGACAGCATTTGACTGCTTTCTTTCAGCTCTCCCGTGCAAACCGTATGGGCCTGGCCTCACGGCTCCACGGCTGGCCAGCGCCGCTGTGTGGCGTGGACTCGGGAACAGGAACAAAGGTGGACGGGATCTGCAAGTCCAATTGGGAGATATTGGGAACAAATCCCACAGACCAGGAGGTTGTACAGGGAAGGTCCTCTGAAAACAGAAGGGTCTGTGGAAGTGTGTTGTTTTGTTCTGGATCTTCGGGACTCTCTTGAATTGGGCTCACCGTGGCGCACCCCTTCTTCAGCCAACATGGAAGTGGAGCAAATCCAGTTAAAACAGGAAACGAGTCGTCCATGAGGTTCAAGCCTGCACTTCCAAGTGTCTAACACATAGTTCCTCCGGCTTGAACCACTGAAATCCTTCGGTGTGCTCAATGGTTTTCAGGCGCTTACAGCGCCCTGTTTCCCTCCTTTTCCCTCCCACCGGGGGACCCCACTTGAGGCGCAAGACTTCATTGAAGTCTCCCAAAGCGGCCTCAAGGCGAAACGACCGGTGAACTGCGGTGGATGTCACCGTCTCACATGCACCTGTCCATCTGAAAAGCATACATTATCCAACCGAACAGTGTCCGTTCTGTTGACTAGAAATCATGAATTATAAGATATTTATATATAATTTATAACAGTCCCTAGGTGTGTGTGGAGGACACGGAAACCGTGATGCAGCCTTTTGAGTATGGATGAGGAAGCCTACCTATTGAGGAAGCCGGTCCTCACAGCGGATGGAACTTCTTGAAGCTTTGTCTTTTTGGTATGACTTGGCTCAGCCCACCTATTCATCAGGCTGACCAATTCTACGGCTTTGACTCCAACGCCGCCGCTTCTCCACATCAACAGCCTGTAAGCTATACAGACTGCCCCTATGATTGCACTGCGTGCCTATGGCTTGCTGAATTGACTAGGTCTGAATTGAAAGGCGAACTGAACAGATTGGCACTCGGGCCCATGTGTCCCGCATGCATCACGCCGCCTGTTCATGTGGACTCGGGGTCGGTCCTTCGTCCCGAAAAGTCAGGGGAAAACTAAACGTCTCGAATCTTCCAGAAGAAGGTTGACCGGCTGCTTGCGAGCAGACCCGTCATCCGTGTAAAAGGTTAAAACTGCCGCGACATGGATTTCCGCCGGAAAGCCCAAGGAATCCCCTTGAATTGGTTCCGGATCGTAGTCAGTTCCATTGAAGAGAGCCTGCGGGGTCTCAAGCAACGGGTTTCCGACCTCACCAGCCTCACCGGTCCCAGCCTCTCACAGTTCCCAGACACTCCCTGGACCTTGGATACTAGGGATCTAGGGGTGGCACCCTCCAGAAATCTGGACCCTCAGAACTGTGTCCACTTAAGGGTCTGGACCACTTAAGGCTCCGGAAATTCTTCCACAAACGCACACAAAGTTCCAAGTTCCGCTTCTAATGATCTTTTGAGAGTACAAGGCTCGATTGGACACGAATGCCTGGCCACAACCCCAAACTTCAGCGCCACTTGGGATTTGAGCCTAGTGGAGTCTTGAAGAAAATAAACCCAAGGGCCCAAGGGCTCAAAGGACCCTCTCCCCAACTCCCCACGCCTTGTACGTGATGGTGTTGGTCTCTGATTGCAGCCAATGAGTCACATCCACCTCCCACCAGTTCACCTGCTGCCCTGGGCACCAGCCGGCGCGGCCAAAGGGCCAGGTCCCGTATTGGTTGGGCACCACGCCTGAGTCGCGATGCAACAAGCGGAACCATTGGCGGAAGAACCTGACCAAATTGCCAATGTTATTCTAGTAAGAATGCTTTTGGGGGAATATATGATTACCATTGATTACCCCATAGAGATCCCAATGTTTTAGGGCACACCTGCGCCTGTACACCTTTCTAGAGACTGACTAATACACACTATGCTGTTGTTGAGACCTGCGTTCATGAAAGTGAATTGCTACTTGAGCACAAGAAGACCACAAGTGTTTTGCATGCAATTCAAGAAGTTACTAGCAAGTCCGACTCTCTCCTCTCGAGAAGGGCACCTTCCAGCACCTGCGTCTTGCATCCATCCTCATTGCCAGCAGTGGGATGCAACTTGGTGAGCAGCGGGCCTCCCATACCATTGATGGCAAAGTGGTGCGAATGCTCGCAGAACTCTGCGCAGTTCTCCTCATCAACACCCCAGCCATGGCCTGTGATCAGGGCGCTCAGCACGACCTGCCGGGTGGCCAAAGGGACCTCAAAGCTCCTCGGCCGTTGCGATGGGTTGTAGCCCAAATCGAAGGGGGTTGAAGCTCCCCACAGTGCGATCTGACGGAAGGGCAGCAGGGCATGATCTGGAGAGCGCCGGAACCAAAAGACCAGCGACACGGTGTAGTGCTGCCAAGTATGAAGGTGCAAAGTTCCTTCGGACGGCGGGCCGAGTTGGGAGCCTCCTGGATCCTGCGTGAATGTTTTCGTGAACGATCCAGGTCAGATCCCACCCTGCCACGACCTGACCCTTCCCACTATCACTGTGTGCTATGCCACTATGAGTCTTTCTAGTCTAGTTCTAGTTGATCACTACTAGAAGCAATGTGCTTGGGCCCAACTCCTCACAGCAAGCCTCTGCCTCCAATGATCCTGAGTTCTTCGCAAGATTCTCAAACCAAAATGCGTCAAAGGACAAGGTGAAAGTCCTACAGTATCTCCTATCACCTCACGCTGACCCTCACGTCTCACTTGACCAGGTTCCTCCCATCTCCCCATCCACCTTCCAGCCCCTCTTCACTCCCCAACTTCCAGTCCTAAGCCATCCATCGCTTCTTCTGAGCTCAGCAAGGCAACTCCCGCTTTGGCCTCACTGAACCAATGCGCCTCGCGGCCGTAGGGCGTCACCCAACGAGCCAGCGAGGTCCGCCGGTCGTGGCAACGGCCCTCCTCCTCGTCGCTAGCGGTGGCCAAGCAAAGGTACAAGTTCAGCTCATGATCCTGAGATGTCCCACTGATGGCAGATGGTATGCAGGCTTCAGATACTCAAAGTCTAAGATTCTTGCTTCAAGTTCTAGAGGAAAGTAAAACAGAGCCTCCAATCCCAAGCAGTTCTGACAACGTTTTATCATGGAATATAATGGGCTAGTTTGTCTCCACCTTCTGTAACCTTTCGGTGAAAGGAAGGACTTGGAGGCTCTACATTCGGCAAATTCCAGTGAACCCAGGGTGGGCAGTTGTCGTCCAAGTGATCATCGCACTCCAGCCTCAGCTCAATCGCTAGGTCTGTGAAGCCGCCCTCCCTTACCAGTTTGGCCTGCTGGGCTGTCCACTTGGCCGCCAGTCCGCCAGGAAAAGGCTCGCGCTGAAACCTCAAAGAAGCCACGCTGTGCGCTTAGTACTTTGAAACTGACTGTCGGATTGCACATTTCAATCTGTGAAGGATCCCACCAGCCAACCAACCTCCGTTGGCAAACAGAAAGAAAATGAAAGAAGAAACGTTTGACCACTGATAATAGGTAAACGGTAAACGCTCTGCACGCTTTCTGGATGTGGAACTGAGAAACACATCAACTCGGAGCACTTCGGAGGATGAGGCTTTCGCGAGATCTTCCTGGCGCTGTAGCAGCTGCCTCCTGTATTCCATGCCTCTTAGTTCGTCAGCCAGTTGGGATGGACCAATGGGAGAGTTGTACCATAGCCCACCTGAATGTCCCAAAACGCCCACCATGTTCGGCCCCTCACTTTGAGAAGCCAGGCTTGCCATGACCAAGGAGCCACTGGAGCTGTTAAACATCTCCTCCAGCAGGGTTTCCCCCACTGACCTGGTCGTCATCACCACTGGAATGTCCAAGCCATCTTTGCAAGGATCTGGAGCAGCACAACTCATGGCCACCGGCACCTCATTTTGACTGAAGATCACCACTCCAGATGCACCGAGCTCCTTGGCCGCCCGCGCCTTGTGATAGTGAGAGCAGGTACCCCGGGCGACCAACGCCACGGCACCCGTGAGGTCAAGCAAAGGTGCCGGCCAAGAGGCCTCTTCCTGGACCTTCTCATTCTCATCACATAAATAGCCCGCCCAACGGAGAGGTAGTGACAACTCCTCACGGCTTTTACTGGCTCGAACGTCCTAGCCGGTCCTAGCCGCCTAGTACTTCCTGGCCATGCCTAGCCTCCAGCTTCAATGTCATGCTGCTATAGAGGATCTTTTTGGAAAGGGTGACAAGGTGGAAAGGAAAATCAAACCAACTCTAGACCCCACAACTGCTTTGCTCCCGTCCTTATCGCTGGCTCGCAATGCCCAATCCCCCCGAATCGTCTGGGTGCGTTCCAGGACGATGGGGTCATCTTTGGCGCTAAAGGCCCGTAGCACGCTCACATGTTTGGACCATGCGTGCGTCACAGATGGTAGCCAGCATGAATCGAACGAAATTTGCCATGCTGGCTGCGTGGCCAAGACGAAACTCCGCCTCACTCGCTCCATGTTAAAAGCTGTGCCGGCTGTGGCCAGTCTGCCGAGCTGCTCGTGAGTTCTGAGCATGAGGCTCTGGATCTCCTCAGAAGAGCTCTTGTAGCTCATGAGGACCAGCCTGAACTCCAAGCTTTGGGAAAGCTCGACCAGTGGTTCCAGGTCTTGGTCTTCCCATCCTGGCGCATCTGCCTGCAACAAAAAGAACATCAAGTTGATGTCACCTGATGGCCCCTCCGGGTCCCAAAGAAATTCCTGTCCAAGCGCCTTCAACTTGCAAGAACTCCTCACTGGGTCTCGTGCTCGCTGCAGTGGCATCTCGGATGACTTGGAACAACCCGATGTGCGAGAGCAATCCGGGTCCAAACAACACCAGCCATCAGGATGGCACGTCCTGGGTGAACTGCAAATCCGCCCTAGCTCTTAAAATCATAGGAGTCTCCTGAAAACTCACCGAAGCCAACAGACATGAAACTGACCCAGCTTCGACTGGCAGATTGGGGTAAACCAAACGGATCTTGCAAGCCTAGGCTCTCGTACTTGTGGCCTTCGTGCCAAAATGGCAGTTGACAGGGCATCCCACCATCTGTGAGGATCCATCTCTCCCGCTGTGGTGCAGCCCGTGGAGCCGCTCGAGAACTTGAGTTCACCACTGCCTTGGTCTGGCCCAAGTGGCCGCTGTAGGACCAGAACTCCTGGTGAGGTTGTGTCAGTCGAGATGCCTTAAAGACTAAAGGATCAAAATAACTATTCTCTAGATCAAATTTGGTAAACCAATAATAGGATAAAACAAAAATAAGCAGTATTAAACATATATATATATATA